TGGCTACTCTCTTACACCTCTTTGGGCTCAGGAGTTACGCGTGATGTATCAACAAGCCAAGAGTGAGTACGGTAAACAGCTCGAAGAAACTGAGGACCTCCGTGGGAGGGCTGAAGAACAACGGATGGTGATGGAGGGGAAGAGCATGGTACTCCATCTAGGATCGTGTAGGCCCTTGCTGATGCTGAGGCGAAGCTCAAGGAGTCTACTCAATCTGTGGAGGATCTCAGAGCCTCTCTGGATGGGAAGGAGGCCGAGATAGCTGATCTAAAGCAAGCCATCGGGGAACTGACTACCGGACAAGCTGCTGATGCTGCTGTATGGTTCAGATCGCATATGGAAAGGGAGATTGCGGTATTGAAGGCTAGGGGGAAGAAGATAGACCTCGCTAAGAATGATGAGTTGGATAAGCTACGACTGGCATTAGAAGCTACGGTGATGGAAGTAGCATGGCAGTGTCACTGTGTTATTGGAGGTCTGTATTCAGCATGCCTCGGAGAAGGCTCAGATGCAGGCAAGCATCGTCAAGCTCGAAGAGGCGCTCACAGACCTTCAGACACAGTATGACGCAACGACAGATGAACTCCATACATTACGGTAACCCAACCCACCACTCTTGTCACTGCTCTAAGATGAATAGTATATGTCCCCTCAGGGCTGCTGCTGCTACAGTCAAGGAAGAAGAGGCTTCCAAGATGCATACCTTAGACACAATACTGGCCGATCAGAGACGATGCTACAAAAATATATTAGCAGTCCTCGAAAGAGCCATACAGAGTAGCTCGGCCTACTCCACACTCCCAGGCCCACCACAACAGGTATGGTGACCATATTCTCCCGAGCTGTTGGGTCGTGTTCAGGCATCTTTCACCAACCCTAGAGGAGTATCCTCAACCTATACTTCGGAGCCCAGTAGCCCTGATCCTGAGATGGCCTGGTTAGACACCGTTGTGTTAGCAGAAGCTATATGAGATATATGGTAGGTACACGGAGGATGAGGAGCTTATCCCTAAACACCGCTCATCCTCGGATGATCACCCCAATCATACTCGATTAACCAACGCCAGCATATACAACATGAACGATGAGCCTGAGCGGATAGGTGTGTTGCTAAGGGCTGACACAATACGATACATGCAGAAGCCTCTAGATACAGCAGAGGCTGATGAAAGCCCCTCACCATCGGAGGAAGGCATGATGGTTAGCAGTAGAGTATCACAAGTCGTCGATAGACTAGTATCTCAACTCAGAGAGGCTCAGCAAAGTCGTCTACGTGTTGAGGTGGGTACTTGCTCACCGACAGGCAAGACACAGCATGGTATCTCCCTAGTCCTTGCTTGAGGAGTATGAGAATGAACTCGAGTTGCGACGGGCTGAGGCAGCTAGACCCTACTTCGCTGAGGTTAGCAATGCAATCATGATAGCCCTGATGTAGCCTGAAGATCTTAGATTCTTCGGTGTCGTTGGCCATTTACTGGGTCCACATTGGCAGCATCGACCGGCAACCGCCATACCACACATGCTTCCGAGTTACGGAATCTCATGAACCTGAGGGATCTCGAAGTGGGAATGGTTCGGGACAGACCAAGTGGCCGACTCAGTGCGAGTTCGGGTCGAAGCGAG